AATTATAAGTGCAGCTCGTCTGCAACTTCTTGGATTCGCATGGTGAGATTCAAATCGAAATGAAAGCACTAGATGTTGGGTGATATACGAGAGATAGGTAACAAAGGAGAGAACAAGTTGGTTTTATTAGTCTAAATGAATATTACAAAAGAGAAGGGAGTTTTTATACACTCCCCAACTACACTATTATACGTCAGATTATTCTTTTCCCCACTAACAGACTCCCAACTGACTCCAAAAGTCTCCCAACTATCCATTTGATTCCCTTGCAAGCTATTTTCCTGGTCTAATCAAAGTCACGTAGCCACGAGGGGACTCTTCTTTGCCTCTGTGGTCTTGCATTCTCAACTGCTACTGACTTCTCTCCTGCTGTTACCATATCAAAAGGTGTATATCTTAATATAAGAAAAACAAACATCGATATTTAAAGAAGTTTTTATTGACAAGCTTCACAACCATCATTCCTTGTTCCCTTTCTCTTTATTTTTAGCCAACAACGTCTATCTCATGTGATATATTTCTCGAAAAGAATATGGCAATAACTTTTTTATGAGAAAAAGTATAGTATGCCTAAAATGCATATCAACTTAGGTTACTTTCATTGAATTCTAAATCCCTCTGAAAATAGGTTGGGTCAGCCTTTGTCGTGGTGAAATATCAACATTTAATTCCACCTAAACTTTTCATGTACAAAAAAAAGTTAAAAATAATCTAAAAGATTTTAATATCAAATTAATTATTCTTTTTTCTAAATCTGAAATGCATTATTTAATAGAGTGCTTGAATTATTTCCTTAAAGTCAAAAAAGCGATGCCACAGTCTCTTATGGTGTGTATGACAATATTTCCAGAATCATTTTTTTTGTCAATTTTTGTTTCCATGAACAGAAATGGTTAAAAACAATGTTTGACAAAATCAGTTTATTTTTTTGTTCCCGAGAATGAATCGGTTCAATTTTTGTACTGGGGATCAGAAAAAAATCATTTTTTTTTCTTTTTTGTTCAAAGGCACAAAATGAGAAATATTTGTCTCTCTCAATCACTACCATCATCATCACCACCACCACCACCTCCCGACGGGACCACCGCCGCCATCGTCATCACCACCACCGCAATGCCACCGCCACCTCCACGCCATTGCCAACATCACTATGCCACCACCACCACCATCGCCATAGCTACTGACGTCACCACCGCCACTACCACCACCATCGTCGCAGCCATTGCTGTCACTACCACCACCACCATCGCAACCATTACCATTACCACGCCGTTACCACCGCCACTTCCGTCACTGTCACCAACCACTACCTCCATCGCTGCAGGCACTGCCGTCACCACAATCATTCCACCGCCTCCACCACCGCTACCACCACCATTATCATCACCATCACCGAAGCCATTATCGTTACCACCACCACCATGTCGCCGCCGCCACCACCACCTTCACCATGCCACAACCACAACCACCACACTATATGAAAATGAAAATGTTGATCTTGAAAATGTTTTATGCTTAAAATGAATGATTTTTTAGTCTATAATTTGTTGTGTTATCCAACACAATTCTCGTTCTCGGAATAAAAATAGATCATGTTATCAAACACATTTTTTTTCTCAGAAACTGTTACAACTTACAAGACACATAAATAGAAAATATTTATTTCTTTTCAGAAACAGTGTCAGAGAACAAAATAGATGTCATACACTAGGTGTGTTCGCGGTCTGGATTGGATCGGTTTTGGAGGCAAAAATCATCTGATCCAATCCCTTCAGTTTGGATTTTTTTCAAATCCAATCCAATCTGATCCAATTTTTTTCGATTTGGATTGGATCGGTTTTCGGTTTTTTGAAAATCTTAAAATTTGTTTAATGATTATTGTGCAAATAACATACTTTTGTATATATTGATTTTGTAACTTTTTTTTTTAAATACAAAAGCATCAGTAAACGATAATATAGTTTTTTTTTGGACCATGAAATATGGAGCTGATAAAATTTTGTTGATGAGATATGATTAGGTTTTTTCTTGGGTTTAGTTCATGGGTTAATGGGTCTTGGGTTTAGAAATTTTTGGGCTATGATTGGGGGAAAATCCAAGTAGGTAGAGGAAAATTAATATATTGGATCAATTTTCATCTACCAATCCGAAAACCGATCCAATCCAATTAAAATTTGCGGTTTTTTTTTCGATTTTCAATTTATTCGGTTATCGATTTTTCGGTTCGGTCACCGCGGTTTAAATCGGTTGATGAACATCCCTATCATACACACCCTTAATGTTTGAAAATCCTATTGACAAAGTCACGTAATTTTCTCTTGCTTTTAAGTCTCTATATAAATTTCTCACAATAGGAATTTAATTTTTTAAATATGAAGCAGATTAATCAAGATTAAAAGTAAAATTGTTAATTGTATGGTTTATTATTATTATTTTATATTTTTAACAAGTATTTTAAAAATTTTAATTAAGAAGTAAAAATTAAATAGTAATAAAAATAAAATATTTAATAAAAGAAATACAAAATTCATTTTTAATTTAATATTTTTTATTCTTTGACCAGTATCAAAGTACTCGTAAAGAAAGCTTACCAAAAAAAAAAAAAAAAAAGTTAACATATTTTCTTACCAAAAAAAAAAAGTTAACATATTCTATCAAGGTTCCTTTAAAATGGCGACGGAGAGACAATTTTTAAATGATACTCATAAAGAATGAATATGTATTTAATACATTTCTTATCAGAGAAGAAGGCGACAAGTTATATATAAAGTTGTTAACATAATTTTTACCATTAATTAGGCTGTGACCAAATCATTCCTATTTTAGCTGTGGACATTTACACATTTTCTATTTCTTGAATTGCGGTTACACATTTACACAGTCGTATTTTAAACTATAATAGAAAAAAAATAGGGGTTAAGAATGAACATTTTTCAAATAAAAAATTAACGTGGACTCGTTTTGAATTATAGGAATATACAGTTAATATGACGACCACCTTATTATTATATTTTGAAGTTTGACAATGAGAACTTCCTAATCTTTTGAGTTGGTGAATGGCGAATTAAAGTTTGACTCAATATTTTTTTTCTTAAAAAAAACTATAAATCTCCTAAAAAATATGCATTTCAAAATAATATTAATATTGGTCATAAACGATGAAAAATAAAAATAAAAATATGATGTGAACGCCACTAAAACCTGTATCCTAAGTTTGTTGGGGTGAGCTATCATGAAAGTATTTGAATTTGTCTCACTATTGGACAGAGCATGTCAAGCCGCGTAGGACTTACTGTTTCGTATATCCCAGAATTTCAAACCCTAGCAGAAAACAAAGCCATGAGATCCTGCTCTTATGGCTCCAGATTTTCCCAAAACACAATCATTGATGCATGTAGCAAGCAGTCTTCCATACATGTACCAAAACACACCATTTTAGTGAATCATAAATTCTTGACGGTAAATCAGTAGAACATTGATTTTTCCCCCCATAAGATTCTGTTCATCATCATAGATAAAGATGAGAAACAATTAACTAGTTGGAGTGATAAATGAATTAGGAGCCTTTCAGGCATTTCACCCCATTTTAGTCTCCTCTCTCTTCTCAATCCATTTCACTTCATTTTATTGGTTAAACAATTTTTTTGAATGATTTTATTCTATATTATGTTGTTTGGATATATATTGAATTTATGAGTTTTTATGGAATTATTAATGTTATTGATCGTATATTTTATTTGGATAAATTTTTATTGTCTTATTTTTTTTAACAGGCTAAATCAGACTTTTATTTTTTGTAAATAAGTCAGGTTATATGCCGATATTTATATTCATAATAGGTAACAGGATAATCCAGACTGTTATATTTAAATACATAATTAACTTTTTAAAAGCAAAGTTCAACTTGGGCCGTTAATACCCCTATAAGCAGTTACTATTTTATTTTTCAAAGGCTGTGTGCTGATGTTTCACTTCTTTTTTACTTGCTTTGAATAAAATAGAAATCAGCCTAAATTATTAGAACCATGGACAAAACTACTTTGTATTATCCTGAATGAATTCTCTTAGAGGCCGTTTGGTACACGGATTTTTTTCTGATTCTCGGAAAATTTAAATTTTTAAAATTTAAATTTTCAGATATTATCGTAAATTGAATGTAAAAAATATATTTTTAAAAATCGAGATTCCCGGACAAATAAAAATTTCTCCTGTACCAAAAGCCCCTAATATTGTCATGTAAAATTTTTCCATCTGTTTCTAAACATTAAATAAATGGGACCTATCAAAATTTATCAATATTTATGAAAGGAGAGATAAAAATAAAAAAGTTAACACGAGAGAATTTGTTCTTATGTATTATCTTAAAAAGAAAAGAAATTCAAAAAGACACTGAAGCTATCGCCATCAAGCAATATTTGTGAGAATCCATTTGCGGTATGCCCTTTTGTTGGTTTTCTTTTGGAAAGGAATAGTAAAGCTGGTAATTTTGCAGCATAATAAAACCGTCCTGTCTCTTCTTTTGTATATTGATTTCTACATCAGTATACCTAAAAGTCCAAATTTTTGCAAACTAAAGTTAGGGATGAAGGAAAATTCTGTAGAAAAATATTATCCCGTTACATTAGGTCAGAAACAAAATTGCATACTACCAAAACATGGGGATCTTCTTTTACTTCCCTGACATCCTCATTTTTCTTATTTTGAAAATCTTTTTTTTTTTTTTATTATTCTATTTTGTGTTGTGTGGTGGATTAAGAATTGTATAATTCAAGTGGTGCAAAAGGCCCCTATTCCCTACCTCACTACATGACATGCCCCCAAGCACTTTTGGGGACTACAAATTCACTCCCACTTCCCTCACTTCTATCCCATGCTAATGCCCAATACCTCTCTCATTCTCTCCCTCTCTTTGTACCTCCTTTCAGCTTCTTCTCTTCATCATTTACACAATCACTTGTTCACAATCTAAAAGCTAAAAAAATCTGTACTTCCCTTTCTCCACCATCTTAATCTCTTAACCTCTCACAAAACAAACACAACACTCTGTTATCCCCTGCCTTATCTACTTTCTTTCAGGTTCGTTTCTTTTGCAACTACTTTACTTAGCTTTCTTTTCACCACATGGCTGCAATTGTGTGCCACCACGGGTTGCAGACACATATGGAGACTCAGCTCGTGGAATCAAGAACACTTAGGCTCAGGTTTCCTTCCTCAAAATCAGTGCCCTCTCAATCCATTGATTTGGCCTTCAAATCTTGTTTGTGGGATTCAAACATCAAAAACCATAACGAGGAGGAAAACAGCAACAAAACAGAAACCTCCTTCCAAGAAAAGTCCATATCATCCAACAACACCAACAAGGGTGGTTGGAGCTTCCTTGAAGCTCTTTCAAATGTCTCCCAAGGGAACAAAGAACCATCACAGAAAGAAACAAGCTACGTGCACCCTCAGCAGAAGCGTTCATCGCTGGTTCTCAGCCCAAGGAGCCTTGAATTGTGCACTGAAAATCTAGGGAATGAGAGTGGCACTGACATTGCAGAAAATGGCATTGACATGCTCTCTTCATCGTACACTGCTGGCGGAAATTTGGGAACAAGGGAGCAAAGGGAACCTCGTCAACATTTGGCAGCTATGAAAGCGAAAACCCAGAATTTTCCACCCCCTTTGACAACGATAAGGGGAACAAAATCTCTTGTTATGAGGCCCCACCGTGAAGATGGACGGCTTGTGATTGAGGTCACCAAGGTCCCACCAAGTGCCTCATGTTTTCATGCTGAGAGGAGCCATGGCCGCCTTCGCCTCTGCTTTTTGAATAATCATGCTCCAAGTTTTGACCCGGAAGAAGAAGAAGGAGAAGAAGAATATTCCATTGAAGAAAACGAACCAACAGCCAATGAAGAAGGGTTTGAAGAAGAACTTGAAAACGAAATGAGTGGACAAATACAATTTCTTGAAGAAGAAGAAGAAGAAACAGAGGAGGAAGCAGAGGAAGAGGAAGATGATGCATGTGGATGTGGATGTGTGTATGAGGAGGAGATGAAAGGTAGTGACATGAGAATGTACGAGAGGCCAAGAAGGTGCAAAGAAGGTGGTGACCATGAAAATAATGAATTGTTGTTAAATTGGGGTGAGCCTCTCTGGGTGGCTACTTCCTAAAGCTAGCTCTGAGATCTTTGGATCTCTCTTTATTAATAAAATTTTTACATTTGTCCTTTTCCCTGTTTCCCTTTTTGTTCCTTCCTATTCCTACTGTTTTTTTTTTGTAATCTTTACATATAATGAAGTCCCCATGTTTTCCCATAAACTATGTTTCTGGTCGGTAGTTATTATCGTTACTCTCAGTTTCTGGGACACACACACCCTCCACGCGCAGAGATTTAGCCGCAGAGTGAAACTCAGACTCATTACGGTGTCAAGTTTGCAACTTTGAGTAACCAAAAGTTTTAATTGATTTCAAATGGAAGTTAGTTTTGTTCCCGAAAATTGGGTTGGGTATAAGAATTTGATTAACGCATGAGTGGAAAATAGGCAATGAGACAAGGGTAGTTAACTTTTCATCCGTAGTAGAAAAACATGATGGTGAAAATGACTGAAGTTGGTGCAGAGTGGGTATGAATGGAAATCTTATTAAAAGAGAAAAATGTTAGACAAAGGAAAAATAAATAAAGATTCAAAGTTACCGTCGAGGTTAGCTACGTTGATCCAAATATATATCAACGGATTAGCTTGCTTGCACTCCTTTGCTAGGAATTAACTTACTATTGTGTCAAAACTCCAGTGGTGCTGGGTTAAAATTCGAATAGAGGTGGTGATATTTTATATTATAATAATAGTTGTCTCGTGATTTTTAATTCTTAATTACTAAAAACTGGGGTATAAATGGGTCGAACTGTTTGTGGTGGCCTAAGATTTAACTTGCTTTAAACTTGGTTTGATCTGACTTATTTAATAAATAAAACGAACTCAATCTTTAAAAAAAAAACTTGTTTAGCAAACACGCTCAAGCTTAATTTAATGAGGCTTGACTTGAAAGTCCGTGAGCTGGCCTGATATATTATAATAAATAATATATTTTATGTCGCTGAATCATTATCTTTACTTTTTTAACCCTATTATTTTATTATTGTCTACTGACATTCTCTCACGATCCCAATTTCACAAACAAGCTCTATGACTATTGGTCTCTCTTTTTCTCCCTCGGTTACTCACTTTTTCACAGCTTTACCACAATCTTTGACTTAGCTCAATCGATTAGACAGAATGAAAGATATGTGGATTGAGTGAGTTCTATGATTGTTTTTTCTATGAGGAAGGAATACATAATTTGATGTATTTATAGTCTTAAAATTTGGACGTACGTGAGTTTGAAAAAAAAATATTTTATAATTATAAATGAGTCAAGTCAAGCCTTTAATTTTTCATAAATAAGTCAAGTCAAGTCTACAATTTAGCTCGTACTCGGCTAACAGGTCAAGTCAAGCTCAAAATATTTTTCATAAACTTGATTCGTTTAAACTAAAGCTCGGCACGGTCCAGCTCATTTCCACCCTTACTAAAAACCATACTAAATAATATGAAAAACCATAACCGAAAAACACCTATGGGACCACTAGGGCTAGCCTAGTGGTAAAGGCGGATAGGTAGTATGTAGTAGCCTAGTAGGTGCTGTGTTCAATTTCTAATGTATTAAAAAAAAAAAAATTACCTACGGGATATTAGATAATAAACTTTGACGTAGGTCATCTATATCTGCAAATTTTGTGTAATCACATCGTTTTCATTACTTATCTCCCATGCTTAAATTGAGCTATATAGCTTGCTCCAAAAAAAATATAAACAGTGAAATTGTGAGATGTTTTATAGGAAATAAATGTAAATGACAATAAATGTGTTTTATTAGGAAACAATCATAGTTTAAATTTTGATAAACGTAACTATTTAGAGAACTTCCCAATTACAATAGTGTTGAAACAGTCTAATAGAAAAAATGTTTAATGTTTTTATTTTTATTGCAGAAAAAATCTCTCCGTCATTCTCACATAAAAATAAGTGAATTTTTTTTATCTCTTTTTTTTTTATAATGGGACACACTCAATTTTATATGAGTATGGCAGATAAAAAAAATTTACAATAAAAATAAAAATATTTTTTCCTAAAAACAAATGAGTTGCTCAGCATACAAGAATAAAAGTACTTAAAACTTGTAGCATGGTGAAGCCTTGGAAAGGAATAGTCTCCTACTCTCCCATGCACTAACACTTTTGCATATCAAATAAATGATAATAGTTTAGGCATTCTTTGCACAGTACGAAAAATAAATAGTAAAAAAATCAATGATTCTTTAAATTTATGTATTTTTTATTCTTGTGAATGATTATTAGATAGTGTCCAAATTCATATGTTTTTTTTTTAAATAAAAACACATACAGAATCAAATCCAATGAAAAATTAGAAAAGGTGTACATTTTTTTATATAGAAAAAACACATGCGAGTAGAAGTAGTCCAAAGAAAATTATTGCTCAAATGAAAGTAGGAAACTCTAGACTACTAGCATGCTTGTTTCAGGTTTTGTATGTTTATATTTAGTTTGATAAATTTAAAAATTTTAAATTATGTATATAATTATAAAACACTCAAATAATAATAGAATCAAAAGTATAAGTAAATAGAGAGTCGGTAATTTTAAGAAGAGTTTTTATCTATTTGTTTAGTACGTTGTTCAAACCTAAGTTAAGTTCAATGAGACTATTCAATATGAAAATGCCGTCATAAGAATAGAAATAATCCATTTTATTATGGAAGACAATTGTCCACGAATTTCGGGCATCATAAAAAGAGCAAAATTATCTTAGAGACATAGTATCTAACACTGAGCTCAGATTTTTTCTTATTGCATTTATGTATTTTTGTATGGTACGTTTTAACTTTATATTATTATTTGTTTTTATTTTTGGTGTGTATTTTATAAAACTGTGAATATTGTCAAAGTGATTTTTTTTAACACATATTATTCCCTCTCAATGATTTTAATATCATTTGGGTAACATTTCCATATTAAGGATATCTTATTCTTTCGGAAAATAATCTTTTTACAAATATGTAAGGGTAAGATTATGTACAAAAATTGTTCTCACCATCGAAATTTAACTAGGAGTGATTTTTTTTTGATTTTTTTTTACTATCTAAGTTCATGTAGAGTCACACACTTTTGCATATTATTCAAGAATCTAGTATTATTCAACTCATCATCTATCAACGTTTTTTAAAGTGCACCGTGTTATTCCTTCTTTAAGGGATATAGAATGGGATGTACCATCAATCACTTTCTAATAAAGAAATTAGTCAATAAACATGCCAAGTTAGTAAACGAGTATGTGTAGAAAGGAGGAAACGGTGTACCAAAAAAACAAATAAAAGAAAAAAGAAAGGAGGAGACCGATTTGATTACGCTTGTTAAACAAATACAGTGGGGAATTACACAAAAATTGAAGTACCAAGTTGAAACATAAAACAGACAACGTTAGGAAACAAAATAATAGTTTAGGTTTTAGGATTTTCCCAATTATAAGAATTTTTTTTTGATAAACCAGTGTATCTTCACATAAGGCAATTTTGTTCGGGACAGGTCTAGAATTAATGCTTTTAAACCCCTTCCAAAGATGATATCGGGAAGGATTGACGCATGCTTTTACCCCCACCCAGTGGCGGACTCAAAAAATTGTATTTGTGTGTGCATACTTAGTAGTGGGTTTGGGGACTGCATCCCGAATTTTTTTCTAATAAAAATTTTAAATGCATTAAAAAACAAAAAAATTTAAACAAGAAAAAAAAAACTTCAACTTAACGTAAAAAAATAGTAATTAAGAGTCAAATAAACTATTACAATAGAACGATTATATTCAAAGTAAGTTTAATTTTTTACGCATAGAAAAGTTTAAGTTATTATTTAATAATATATTATTATTTTATTTTAAAAAAATTGATTTATATATTACTAAATGAATTGTGAATCCATGTGAGAGATATACCTGTTTTGCAACGAGGTCTTCTGGTTCTGCAATGCTTAGGATATGGATGTTGGTCGTCACCACCAAGAACGGGTCGCCACCAAAAATTAATGTCTGCAATGGCAGACATCGGCACATATGTAGGTTCGCCGTTGTCCCTACCTATTTAGCTCTCATACACCAACTGAACTACAATTATTTGGTTCAATTATAAGAATCTAAACCTACAATATAGTATAGTGTATGTGGTTGAGATTTGAAGCAGCGCAATTGTGAAAAGCGTGTTTTACACCTTTAATTGTTTTAGAGTATTTATAAGAGAGAGATTCATTCTTCTTCTTCTTCTTCATATATATCTATGAGGAATTGAACACATACCCTATTACACAACTATCTAGACCTGTTATCACTAGGCTAACTCTATTAGCTTAGGTTATTTTTTCTTTTATCAACTTACTAAAGATTACATGATCATTTCCAAAAAAAAAAAAAAGAGACTACATGATACAAACAGGCCAGTTATCCAATTGATATTGCACTTTTCTTATCCCTTAAGTTATACCCGTTTCTTTCTCAAGAAAAAATTGTGTTCTTTTTTTCTTTCAAATTTTGATCTAATTAATTAACTCGCTCAATAGGCCAATCAAATTAAATATTTCTACGAAAAACCGGCAAGAATAGGGATAATAAGATATTAAAACGTGATAAAACATGGCACTCTTGAGAGAAATTTTCGGTGCACTTTGAAACATGAACTTTTTTGTGCTTTTCTTTCTTGAGTTTGTCCTCTTTTTCCTTTTCTTGCTTTGTACTTTTAACATGCAATATTCTGGTGCGAAAAATTATTCTTATGCTATATGAGATAAATTCTTCCTCGTATACACCTTTTAATAACTGTGCTACTTTTTTTTTTCAGGTGGTGGAGCCTATAAATTTATTTCTATGACATGAGATAACTTATCTCTTTTAACATAAGATTAATAAAATTCATTTATATATAAGATTTTGATATTTATATTTAAGGAAATATATTTTTCATATTGTATGAGATAATACGTAACACACAAAAAAATAAGTCAAATCCATTAAGGAGAAGAGAAAGAGAAAAAAATTGATCTCATTCATTTTTTATATGTACATATGATAAA